TGTTAACCATTGTCATAGGGCAACGTGTACTGTTTAATGAGAAACTATTTTTTTTCTGTAAACCTTCATCTAAAGTGAGAATAGCAGCACGACTGGAAGAACGTAATCGATGTCACTGACTTGGGCATGTAGAAATTTCTGAAATGGTGCATTTTGGCTATGTATATTTTCACCAAAAGAAAAGGTCCTCCAAGGCCAAGAATGGAGAGAGTTGACATGTTGTGGGGTTGTTAACCAATGTCATAAAACAATATGTGTACTGACTATTCAGTAAGAAACTATTTGTTCTGTAAACCTTCACCTAAAGTACAATAAGAAAAAAATTAAAGAATAAAAACACACACACCAAAAAAAAAAAAAAAACCAGAAAAGCTTCATGAGCAAATGGACTCATCTGGTTTGTCGTTCTGTTGTGAAGTAACTTGCTAATTTCAGCAAAAACTTAAACTTCAATTCTAACTCTCAACATAAAAAAAAACAAACTGAATTTTCCATCCTGTCTACATTATTTGATAATCTCACAATCACTAAAACCTCGTAAGTGCAATGTTTATTTAATATGAAATTTGAGTAATTAAACAGGTTACAAAGTCTATTAAGTAAGGTCTATTAAAAAAATGTTTACTAAACAAAGGTAAAGAGATGCTGGCCATGTCAAAATTTGGCACCACAGTTACAAATCATTTATATGTATTGATTGAAAGGGGCCCTCTACTACATTCTGATTTGCATAATTTGTCACTCCTTGTATTAGAAGGTAAAAATTGACATTTCTTTGAAACCATTCTAATAGTTCAGACATTCCATGTATCCAAATACTCAGAGGACTTTTCTGCACCACCCAGGCTCCTTCTTGTCTAAAACAGACAGTTTTATTATTCAGTTGTTTAATGAGTATCCTTTTGAAATTTCACTCAGATCACAACTGACTGAGTCTAAAAGGAAAAAGAATTGCTCACTCAAACAAATTTAATTTGTTTTATTGAGACAGTAGCTCCAACTTTAACAGAAATATTCATACACACATATATATTATGGCCCCCACACACACGTATATTATTACCTAAGGTCTATGATGTCAGCACAGTATGGTGCGTATACGTATGTGTGTGTGTGCGCACGTACATGTACATAGTTATATGAATTGAACGGATCAAAATTTAAGAATATTTATCCAAAATAATTATCTTCAAATGTTTTTTATATATTTACATAAAATGACACAACCAAAAGTTGGTAACACTCAGTCTCTTTATATAATATATATTTTAAATCTTACAACATAGGTATAGAATTTTAGCTTTAGTGTGTTTGGAAAAAATGTGTAAGTGAGTTACACAAAACCAGTCTTATTACTTATAGTCATACTGTGTATAAATGAATTTACACATATTTATTCATCATCATAGCATATGTACCATACTTTCCAGTTTTCAAAGTGTTTTCACATACTTTATTAGATATTGTCCTTTAAACTCCTGTGAGGTGGATGTTATCATCATTTCCACTTATAGAGGAGAAAACTGAAGCTGGAAAGTGGTGGAACTGAGATTCAAATCCATGTCTTCTAGCTCCAAATCCTAGGCTTTGGATTGAGACAGAATGTTCGAATTCTAGCTTGCTCACTTAATAGGTGTGTAACTTTGGACAGGCTGTTTAACCCCTCTGAGCCTCAGTTTCTTCATCTGAAAACAGAGACAATGATAGCATGTACTTACCTAATCGGTTATTATGAGGGCTGTATGAGAGCCTGACATATAGTAATGCTAGGTGGATAGTGGGTATTATTATTATTTCCAAAATAAATAGAAACAATTAATTAGATAAGGAAAAATAACTGCCGTTGCTAACTACCGGGTAGTCTTTTAGAATTACGAGAAACTGAGTATTGTATATATACATACATATATTTAGTTGCTGTCAAGTTGATGCCAATTCATAGCAACCTGATATGACAGAGTAGAACTCTCCCATAGGGTTTCCAAGGCTGTAAATCTTTATGGAAGCAGACTGCCACATCTTTCTCCCATGGAGCGGCTGGAAGGTTTGAACTGCTGACCTTTCGGTTAACAGCCGAGCACTTAACCACTATGTCACCAGAGCACCTTTATACACACGTGCATATATACATGTAGAATATTTTTATATACAAATATGGATAATATAAACAAATACATATGTACTGTCTTTTATATTTTTATAACATATTTGTATGTTATATACATGTTACTGTCTGAAAAAAAGTCACTATTAGAATAAAAGACATTTCACAATATGTTATAAAATTTATGTGGAAGCATTCTATACTGTCAAAGCTCTCTGTATATTACCATAAACGACAAAGCTCTCTATTTTCTTGTTATTAATAGCAGTAATGATGATGATGAGCATTTATTTCTAGAGCACTCCAAATACCTTAATGTCAATCAGTTTATAAATACAAATTGTAATACAGAGAACAGAAAAAAAAAAAAAGTAATCTAACCCATAATAAGTAGTTCTTAAGAATCAGGTTTAAAATTATGCTTCCCCTTAATAGAAGATCTCATGATCATTACTTCCTCCTGTTACATTTTAATAATATCTAGTGAGGAGCACTATTTTGTGATATTCTATCTAGATATCCTTTAGGAAAGGTCTATACGAACATAAAATGCACTATGGGATTGTTCCGCAAAGATTCCACTACTCTAAATATTAAATATAATCACTTAATAAGGAATTTGCATTTCTGAAACTAATTTTTTTCAGGTAATGGCAATTTCAAAATTACCATTTCATTAATTATTTTATTACTTTTTTTAAAATTTAATTAAGAGTTATGGATAGATATTTGCCCTGAAATGTACAGGTACGCATGTAAAAATAGAGAACCTTTTTTATCATTAAAAAAAAAAAATACCTTGTACGGAAGTTTGTAAGGTGCATGAAAATCCACAGCACAGAATCTGAAGATGCACCTTGGACAGGTGCCAGTACTGAGCAGCAGCCAGGCCACACGCTTGTTCTCCGCAATCAGTGGAAACATACTGAACAATTGTATCTAAAAAGAAAAACAAAGTAAAACTGAATGAGCAGCTTCTGTGTTTGACTTTCACAGACAAATATGCCATCACCTTTAGGGGTAAAACCTAGTTTTTATTTGAGAAACACTATTGCATATTCTCCAATAATGCCCTTTTCATCATCTGCATGTCTTAAAACATAGACTTGAAGGAAGTTTCTAAAATGAAATCAGTTGAAGGTGTCTAATTGCCAAGAAACGTAGTTTAACATTCTGGATTATGATAAAGTGCATCAATGTCACTAAGCCAATTAAAAGAGATAAAAACAAAGATATTCAAGAATGGGTGCCTCTAGGGAGGGTAATGAAAAAAGAATACAGAGTGAAAAAAGAATACAGAATGAACTTTTGCTTTTTGTTTTGTATCGTTTGGTGTTTGAAAACAGAGTAGTTAATTCATTAAACTTTTCCTATTAGAAATTAAAAATAAACTTGAAAGAAAAAATAACCAGATGAGTCTACATTATGTAATACTTGACTAATCTTAAAAAGTTAGTCAGGTGTTTAAAAAAACATTAATAGTAGATCCAAAAACATAGATTTTTTTTTTTGACAAAGTTTTAACTAAATGACTTAACCAACTATTGGCAAAATGAGAAAAATCTGCTGGTTTTATTCACAAGTAAAACCTCCAACTAATTAATAAAACAAAGCATACAAAACATTTGAGAGTAATTATTTGTCTAAAACAAGTTACTACTTTTTGCAATTTTCTTGTGAAAATATACACCACTTTTTGCAATTTGAACAAACTCACTTAGAAAAAGATACTGCATAGAAAGCAGGGGAAAATCCAATAGAAGTCTCCTGTGGCCAGGAAGGAGGGGTACTAAAAATTACCTTATCACCCTCTTTCACAAAAATAGAACTTCTTTGGATTAGTGAATCAGTCCACATTACTTTAAAATGAGGAACTATCGACATTTTATAAAACAATGATCGCACAACAATGTTGTGGTATGGTATAACTGTGGTCAAATATAGAGAAAAGACACTGCCACCTTTTAATCTGTGCAGTTTCATGATTCAAACAAATTCGCTTAAAATTTGTGGTAGGGAGAAGCTCTTATCAACAAGTTACTATGCAGATGTGATTACTACTATTAGTTTGTATTTTTCAACTCTTTCAAACTTACTTGCAAGTTCCTAAATGTTTGTGGCCACCTACCAAGAGAAGTAGATCCTTGATACAAAATAACAAGGAAGACAAGTATACAGTTCTATAGAACCTATCAGTTCAGCAGCCAGGATTACAAAATACAGATTGCCTCTGGCTGGGTTAAAATGTGGGCGAATATGAGCTGACAGGGAAAGAAAAAGAAGAAAATCAGGTTTGTCTGGGCTCACCAGTGAGAAGTTTGAGACGCCAGGATCAGGGAACACTGAAATAGGGTAGCATAAGTAAATTTGGGCTCCAGAGTATTTTCAAGAAAGTACACAGAGCATGTGGAAAACACCCTTTAAATAATGAAGCTCTGTGTACTCAAATCATTATTACTTGTATGTGATCTGAATCTCTCCCCTAGCCCATTTAATCTGCTAGTTTGGTGTTGCCTTTGAAGGGACACTGTGAGGGACTGAAGGCTAGCAGTTCAAGCCTCCCCCGACTGCACTCCCATCACAGAGACACTGTTTCTGCATCACCCACTATTACACCTTGTCGCCTCCTCCTCAAGGATTCTATTTAATTCAGAATTAACTTTCAACCTAGAAAGAGAAACAAATACTCCTCTCTCCAATAAAAAAATCAAGCAGTGGTTTGGTTTTGGGACATGCTTAAAAAGGACATTTTGTTGGGATTTAAATGTTGTTATTAGGTGCCGTCCAGTCAGTCCTGACTCATAGCGACCCTATGTACAACAGAACGAAAACATTGCCAGGTTCTGAGCCATCCTCATGATTGTTGTTGTGCTTGAGCCCATTGTTGCAGCCCGTGTCAATCCATCTTGAAGGTCTTTCTCTTTTTCATTGACCCTCTACTTTACCAAGCATGATGTCCGTCTCCAGAGACTGGTCTCTCCGGATAACATGTCCAAAGTATGTGAGACAAAGTCTCGCCATCCTCACTTCTAAGGAGCATTCTCGGCTGTACTTCTTCCAAGCTAGATTTGTTTGTTCTTCTGGCAGTCCCTGGTATATTCAATATTCTTGGCCAACACCACAAAATGTATGTTCTTTTCCCCTTGGCTTAAAGACTAAATTTCTATTTCTCTAACAGGTTCACTAACATAAACGTGTCATGAAAGTCAGTGAATGACACATTCCAATCTCCTGGCCTTGAGAAGTTTCCAAACCTGTTGAGAAGTAAGAAACTTCCTGTCCTGACTAATTTCAGGAGGTTCTTTCAAACATACACAAAACAGAGTCTGTGAATATCTGTGTGTGTGCTTAGCAACTGAGCTGTGGACCCTCAAGATCATCTTCACTATTAACAATCCAGCGACTTCTCAAGCCTATTATCATTAAAAGGAGGATCTAAGTTTTGCCTTCAGACTAGAGCTTCACCTTACGAACAGCCCTGAAATAAAGGGTGTCACACACTCTCAGCAGTGAGTTGTTTCGTACTGGATTTCTCCTCTTCGAAGGCGAGCCCCGAGAAATGCACCCCACGCTCCAAGTCTGGGATTGTTGGCTGTCTTCGGTGTTTGCTTTCCGTGCACGTGTCTTCCAGCAAGCACTCGGGGACAAGTTCTTCCGCAGACCCCCCTCCCGGGCAGGGCTCCCCGGGGACTGTCCCTTCTCCGAGCCGACGACACCCGCCCCGTCTCCCGTTTAGGGGAGCAGATGAGGCACCGCCCAGAGGGACCAGGCTGACCCCATAAAACCCGTCTGCACACACAAGGGTGCCAGGACTTCGGCCCGCGGGAGGGGCGCTCACCACTCCCCGGGGTCACCGTGCACTCCGCTGTACAAACGACCCCGCCAAGCTCCCCCCAAGGTCTAACCCCCGCTTCCCTTCCGCCGAGCGAGCCCTTCCCCCCAGCGGCCAGGTCCAACCAACTTCCCACTCACCCTCTCCTTGCTAAAAGCCGCTCCAGCAAGAGGGAGACGACCCGCAGCCTCCACACGGGCCCCGCAGCCTCCACACGGGCCCCGCACCGTCCGCACCCGCACTTCAGACCTCGCCGCCTCACCTTCTCCCACCACACGGAGACTGGAACTCCTTCCGCCCCTCAGGAACGGGGAAGACGAAACACTGCGCACCTATTGCGTCTAGCGATTCTGTTCCCCCAGGAAACGAGAGCTTTAGGACCAAAGTACCAGCTCCCTCTCGCGAGGACTGAATAAACTCTCCTCTGCTGTTTCAAGGGAAATCTGTTGAAAAGCCTGGACTTTCGCGACACACCCCATCTTCCCCGCGGGTATAACTGCCCCATCCGGGCCCTCCTCCGGGCCTGAGGGGTTCTGGCCCCAGACCGACAATAAGAAGACTCCGATATCTAGGGCCTAGTAGCCGCTGCCAGAAATATCGATGAGCCCTTCCCCTCAGGTTTACAATGGAGACTCTTTCCGGGACAAACAAAAAGACAGCATTTTCTCCCATACGTTAGTGCCACCCTCTCGCCCTCGGGTCGCAGCTAAAGCACCGCCAGCCTTGCCCTGACTGCAGGGGTGGGCGGGGTGGAGGGCTCGGCGTTCGGCCCGTCGGGCCTTGCGCGCGTCGCCGGAGGACCCTGGCCTCGGACCGTCGAGGCGCCGAGCGGGAGGCGAGTGGAGGTGGAGGAGATGGCGTCCCAGCCGCCGCCTCCCCGAAAACCCTGGGAGACCCGCCGAATTCCGGGGGCCGGGCCGGGGCCAGGACCCGGCCCCACGTTCCAGTGAGTGTGGGCTTCTCAGGGCCGCGACTGTGGTGGGGCTAGAGCTTGGGGACGTGGCAGGAGGCGGTTAAGGCCGTTGGCGGGGGTGGGGTGGGGTACTGGGGCCCCCGCTCAGCCAGCCCCGAACTCCGGGGGAGTCGAGATGGGGCCGGAGCGCCGAGGGGGCCCGCGGTTCTCCAGCTGTTCCCCTCCGGGCGGCACTGGGCTGCGGCGTTTTTCGGGGGGACTCGCGGTGCCTCTGTGGGTCCCGGTGAGTGGGAGTCGGGGGTCGGAACGCCTTGACAGGGGTGCTGGCGCCCTTTAGAGCCTTAGACGTCGGTCTGTGGCCACGGAGGGGCAGCTGCCCGGCCCCGGGCGTCCGTGGGGAGCCAAGTCTCGTAAAAGCTTGGAACAGCCTCTGCAGAAGTTGGCGAAGGCCCAGAAGGTCACTTTGACGCAACTGGAAGCCTGTGCGCTCTGCCTTCCCTTTCGGCGTAACTCAGCCAGTGTTTCGGATTGAGATTTTGGAGGAGCGACGTTAAAGCCGGAGATCTAACGCTGAGGCCTGCGGTGGCCTTTGTGTGCAGAATTGTGTGTGCCTTTTTCCAGGGCCTGTGGGTTTGTTTTGTTTTGTTTTCATCAGTATCAAAAGGGTCTCCAACTCACGAAAAGTTAAAATAGAAGAATTTCATGGCCCTGTGTGTTTTGTGTTGGGTAGATCTGGACAACTTAGTTCAGATGAGACTCGAAGGTCAGTAGGATTTTCTAACATAAAAATCCCCAACCTGTTGAAGTATGTTTCTGCTATGTTCTCAAATCTTGTCGTTTTTTATTTAAACAGTGCTTGAACACAATAACTCGTTAATTTAATAATGATAGTTAACATAACAAGTAATAAGCTTTAATGATGCTTTTAAGCTGTGGTGACACTTTCTACTATCTTTTTCATGAGTGGTTCTGACTTTAAAAAAAAAAATTGGACTGCCCTTTTGGAGAGGGGTTTTATTCTTGCCTCTGTTAAAGTTATGTTTAAACTTTTTTTCATTATGAAATATTTTAAAAACACAGAGACCTGTAACCAATAACCAATTGCAGTTGAGTGGATTTTGACTCATGGTGACCCCATGTGTTTCAGAGTAGAACTGTGTTCCATGGGGTTTTCAGTGACTGATTTTTCAGAAGCAGATTTTCAGGCTTTTCTTCTGAGGCTCCTCTGGGTGGACTCGAACTTCCCACCTTTCTGTTAACAGCCTGTAGAGAGTAAGAGAATGAACACTTGTTTATTCACCAGCCGCTGGTGTTAAGAAGTAGTCTATTAACTGTTAACATTTTGCCATATTTTCTCAGATTTAAAAAATAGATAAAAATTAGAGAACAAGTTAAACCCTTTCATGTCTCTTTTCCTCTTTCTCACAGTAATTACTGTCCCTGTTTGGTATTTATTGTAGCCAGTAATGTTTTCATACTTTAGTTCTTAGGCTTGTGTGCATAGTTTATGTGTATTATTGTTTGGCACGTTTCTAAACTAAATAAATACCTTCAAACGGTGTATCATTTTGCAAAATGTTTTTTCCGCTAAATATTCTATCTTCTAAGGTTTATCTTGTTGATGGGTGTAGCTGTGTTGTTTCCCTTGAGTCAAGTCTGACTCATGGCAGCTCAATGTGTGCAGAGTACATCTGCTCCACCGGGTTTTCAAGGCTGTTACCTTTCAGAAGCGGATCGCCAGGCCTGATTTCCAAGGCACCTCTGGGTGGGGTTGCACTGCCAGCCTTTCAGGTGGTAGCGGAGCAGTTACCACCCGCACCGCCCAGGGATTCCTGAGTAGACTGTAGCTGTGTTGTGGTTAGGTGCCATGGAGTCAGTTTCAACTTACGTTGGTCCCAAGTGAAGAGGAGAACTGCCCTATAGGGTTTTCTGGGCTGTAATCTTTAGTTCATTGTAATTGCTGTAGATAGTCTATTACATAAAAGTATATTGTTTATTATAGTGTCTGTTCTGTTGGTGGGTATTAGATTATCAGGTTTTTGTTGTTTTTTTTTTTAACATTAAAAACAGTGCTGCAGTGAACATCCTTGTGCCTTTTTTCTCATGCACATTTCCAAGAGCTTTTCTAAGATACTAAAAACCAGACCTGTTGCCATTGAGTTGATTCTGACTCATGGTGACTCCGTGTGTGTCAGAGTAGAACTGTGCTCCATAGAGTTTTCAATGCTGTGACCTTTTCAGAAACAGATCAACAGGCCTTTCTTCTGCTGCACCTCTGGGTGAATTTGAATAGTCAACCTTATGGTCAGTAGCAGAGTGCATAACCCTTTACGCCACCCAGGGTCTCCTCTAAGATGTTACTGGCATGGAATTGCTTGGTGGAAGGGTATGCTTTTTTTCAAGTACTGAATATTGCCAGTTGTTCCCCAGAGTGGTTGTGTACCAATTTTCATTTCCACTAGCAAAGTATTCTGTTCCTTCACATCCTCACCAACACTTGATAATGTTATTTTTTAGAACTGCATTTGCCATATAACAGGTGTGAAATGGTATTTCGTCTTTAATTTGCACTTTCTTAATTAGCACTAAGACTAAACATCTTTTTGAGTATATACTAGCCTTTTGAATTTTTTCTGTTGGTGACTTTTGCCCATTTTTCTATTGGCTTTATCTTTGCTTATCAATTTGTAGGAGTACTTTGTGGTTGATACTAATTCTTTTGCTACTACCTTTCAGTCTGGACTGGTCTTTTCACTTTATTTGTATTTGTTTATGTTCATTTTTGTTGTACAGAGGTTTTTATTATATGGTCAAAATTGTTTTATTGTTTGTGCTTTTTGTGTTTTGGTTTAAGAATTCCTTTCTACCCCAGATCAGAAAATTTTTTCTCTGTATTTTAAATGTTCTGCTTTTCAAATTCGTATCTTTCATCCACCTGGAACTGACTTTTGTTATACAAAAATCAATGTGAGTAGAGAATCTTAATTTTTTTAAAGATGAATAACTGATTGTCCCTCAGGATTTATTGTGTAGTCTGTTCCGTAGTAATTAACAGTGCTGTCAGACCCAGTTTTCCTAAATGCATCATTCTGTTTGGGGACTCTCTGACTTGTCCTATGGTCTGTTTGTCTGTCCTTATGCTAGCATCACAATGTCATACTTAAAAAGCTTTATAATAAGTTTTGATACCTGTCTGCCAAGAGCCTCCGCACATTGCTGTTCTTCAAAATTGCCTTTGTTACACTTAACATTTATAAAAAGACTGGGATTTTTAATCAAGCTGTGCTGAATTTATAGAGCATGTAAGTCTTTTCCATTTATGAATATTGTGTAAGCTATAATTGGTGAGATTTTTATTTCCTGTTATGCCTTGAATAATGGTTTAATATTATCTCTGTGAAGTTCTTTACCTTTTTTTTGCTGTTTATTCCTAGATAATATTTTTTGTTGTTGTTGCTGTTGTAAATGGGTTCTTTTTTTCCCTTCCTTTACTGTTTTCCAGTTGATTGTTACTAGTGTATCAGAATGCTATTGATTTTTTTTTTTTTCAATATAGATATGTTGTATCAAGCATATGCCGAGCTCTTAATTTGTCCTAATGGTGTGGTTAAAATTCTCTCCGATTCTATGTAGACGAGTGTATCATTTACAGAAAAACCAGCATGGATGGCTAGCACCCTTGTGTTGGTTCTGACTTTCATTGGAATACTTGTAAAATCTTCCTGTTAAGTTTGGTGTTTGCTTTTTGTTTTTAATAGGTATCCTGTCAACCTTCTCTTTATCTTGCTAAGGTTTTTATTATCAAGGAGTGTTAAGTTGAATGGCTTGTCTGTATCTGTTGAGATAATTATATATATTTTTTCCTTTAATATGAAAATGTGGTTTAGTGCATTAATTAATTTTCTGATGTTTAATCCTCTTTCATTTGTGGATGAACTCAACTTAGTGGTGATTTTTTTTTTATATATATACAGTGCTGAATTCTACTCTTAATATTTTAATATCTTTGTGTATATGTTTCTAGGTAAAATTGGCCTATAATTTTCTTTCTTTATACTATTCTGCCTTTGTATCAAGGTTTTATAGCTACAGAAATTCTTCTATTGAGTCTAATTTTTATGTCTTTATAGATAGACTGTCTTCTCTTTAGTAGCCTTTAAGGTTTTATTTTACACCATCCCCTTCTGAAACTCCCGTTAGACTTTAAATCAGGAATAGTTTCTGCTGCAAGTAACAGTATCTGACTTCCTGTGCTTTGGCTTATAAAGACATTTATTGTGTAGTTAACAACAAGAAATCTAGAGATCTGTTGTCTCAATAATATCACAGGGGGCCTAGTTTCTTTTTTGCTTCCTTTTTTTTTTTTTTTTTTTTTTTGTACTGTCAGCTTGCTGACAGTTTTTGCAATCTCTGTCTTATTCTTGCTTCTTTGAGAAGAGTCTTTCGTTTTTTCCCCTTTGACTGCTTTTAAGATTTCCTCTTTGTATTTGATTTTAGCAATTGTACCTTGTTGGGCCTTTGTGTTACCCTGGGTGGAGTTCACTGATATACTAGAATCTGACTTGATATCTTTCATCAGTTTCAGAAAAATCTCAACCATTGTCTTTTCAAATATTGCCCTTCCCCCTTTTCTTCACTCCTGTGACTCGAGTTACGTTTGTGTCTGTGTTTTACTCTATTGTATCTTACTGTCTTTTCTGTATGTGTCTTTGTTTCTCATGCTTTGTTCTGGGTATTTTCTTCTGAACTGTCTTCTAGTTGACTGACATTTTTCTTCATTGTGTCTAATCTGGTATTAACCCAGTCATTGAGCTCTTAATTTCAGGTATTTTATTTTTTTCAGTTTTAGAATTTCCATTTGGTCCTGCTTTATAGTTTCTGGTCTCTCCTGAA